AACAGATTTGTTTTAACCGTTTTAAATGTCCAGGCAGAACTGTTAATAACAGATTTGTTTTAACCGTTGTAAATGTCCAGGTAGAACAGTTGATTACAGATTTGTTTTAACCTTTGTAAATCAAAATCAAACTTTTCACACGTCTTGGAGTTCACGAGCCAAGAGAACGGAACAACTACAGCAAATCATGACCGCCGTTGTAAGTCTGTCCACTCTAACACATGTAGGCCTAAATGAATGTCTGAAGCTCAAGATTTTAGAATATCCGAGGCCACCATTAATTCTAATTTATAATTATTCATAGCTAAACCGGCTGACAGTCTCAGTTCCTGGTGGGGTTCAAGTAGTTCACGTGAGTTTTCAGTAAGTTTATGGCGCGTTTTGTCTTCAAGATTTTAAATTTAATTTTTCGCATTTAGCAAACGCAAATGACATCTATTTACATCTTTAATAAACCGGGAGTGATCTCGCCTAAACTTTCTCGAATATTCTTATATAAAACAACAGGAGACGAGAACTCGGGCTATAAACATGATTTTTAATCCATTTTAATTACTTAAAGTTTTAAAAATAGAATAAAATCTCGTAGACAAAAGAATTTCACACCAAGTGAACGCCAAATAAAAAAAAAGTGCATAATAGTGCGCAATATTATTAGTACTTTAAAAATTTACATTAGTTTTTTTGAGAAATCGGAAATTACTACTTCCGGTCAACGGAAAATTTAACAGAAGGTAGACAATTAGATCTTTTACTAACATGTGAAATTTCATTTATCTATCTGAAATAGTACTCAAGTTATAGGCTTTTGAAAAATTCAAAGTAGGAAAAGTACCACTTCCGGTTATCGGAAATCGCTCAAAAAATGATACGGATCTACGATTTTGATAAAATAATTATATATGAAATTTCATCAACCTAGCTGTAATGGTACTCAAGTAATCGTGTTTACACACAGACACACAGACAGACAGACACACACACAGACATACGGACAGAATTGCAAAGCCCAGTTTTTCAGACTGGATTAGGCATAAAACCTCTTAATTTTGATAAATCTGGATTGATAATTTTTGCCCGATTAAAATAAGTCCTCTATACTTTGGATGTGATGAAGGACTGAGGTGTAATACGGAGAAATTGTTAAAATTTCAAGTGATTTTTGTGCACGATTACAATACTTTCTCTATACTTCGTATATACGAGAAAGTAAAAATGTTACAAAGCATAAGTACGAATAAAAAAATTTTACGCATACTCTCTTGCACAAATATTTTACATTTTCTCTCATCCCAACCCTATCACTATTTTCATTTATTTTTTCCCCCTCTTTTCTCTATTTCTATATCTATATTTTCTCTCTCTCTCTCTCTCTCTCTATTTCTATATCTTGAAATATATTTCCCTTTTGCTCTATTTCTATATCTTGAACTATATTTCTCTCTCACTCTCTCTATTTTTATATCTTGAAATATATATCCCCCTCCCCCTCTCTATTTCTATATCTATATTTTTTCTCTCTATTTTTATATCTTGAAATATACATCTCTCTCTCTCCCCTCTCAATTTCTATATCTATATTTTTTTCTCTCTATATGTATATATCTTGAAATAGATTTCTCCCACACTCTCTGTATTTCTAAATCTTGAAATAGATTTCTCTCTTGCTCCCATCCTACTCCTTGATGTCTCCCTTCTGTCTTCGTCGGTTTTAATGGCTGGCGGACAACAAAAAGAAATGATCCCATTTACCAACATCTAGATCTGTGTTTCTCCAAACATCAAGAAATGATCCCATTTACCAACATCTAGATCTGTATTTCTCCAAACATCAAGAAATGATCCCATTTACCAACATCTAGATCTGTGTTTCTCCAAACATTAAGAAATGATCCCGTTTACCAACATCTCGATCTGTGTTTCTCCAAACATTAAGAAATGATCCCATTTACCAACATCTAGATCTGTGTTTCTCCAAACATCAAGAAATGATCCCATTTACCAACATCTAGATCTGTGTTTCTCCAAACATCAAGAAATGATCCCATTTACCAACATCTAGATCTGTGTTTCTCTAAACATCAAGAAATGATCCCATTTACCAACATCTAGATCTGTGTTTCTCCAAACATCAAGAAATGATCCCGTTTACCAACATCTCGATCTGTGTTTCTCCAAACATTAAGAAATGATCCCATTTACCAACATCTAGATCTGTGTTTCTCCAAACATCAAGAAATGATCCCATTTACCAACATCTAGATCTGTGTTTCTCCAAACATCAAGAAATGATCCCATTTACCAACATCTAGATCTGTGTTTCTCTAAACATCAAGAAATGATCCCATTTACCAACATCTAGATCTGTGTTTCTCCAAACATCAAGAAATGATCCCGTTTACCAACAACTAGATCTGTGTTTCTCACCGGACATCTACATCACGGGTTCCCAACCTGGGGGTCGCGACCCCCTTGGGGAACGCGAAGGTCTTTCTGGGGGGTCGCCAACTGGTATACTAAACCTTAGTAATTTGAAACAAAACATAAATATTTAGAAGAATTTTTAAAATTCGGCTTCATTAACATCACTGGAAATGTAATAGAGAAGAAACAAAGCGCACTGTACAAAGTTGTTCTCAGTCACGAATCTATGAAATCTTCATAACTAAAACGTCATTTGAGACGAGTCATTCGGAACACACCAAAAAATATATGGAGTTCTTTCGTCGATAAGAAGCTAGTTGCAAACGCCAGAGACTTGATCGAACAAGAAGTTTTCACCAGCATTAGTGCAAGCATCAAATGAAGTCGCGATAGAAAATGCCAAGCAAAAAAAAGCAAAAGCAGAAAATCTCATCAAAGTAAATGTACGTAAATGTTAAATAACACATTTGTCATTGAAATTAAGCTTTCACCCATTGTTTGCTTTTCAAGTTGATAAATCAACAGACGTGAGTTCGTGTTCGCAGTTGCTGGTCTGTGTCTATATTCATGTGGATGATAGCAAAGAAGAGTAGCTCTTTTGTGAAGATAGTATGGAGAAAATAAATACCTTTTTTGAAACTGGATGATTAAAATGGGTTAGAACGGCTGTGGGGGTTTGTGCGGATGGGGCGCCATCTATTTTTAGCTCAAAATCGGGCTTTCGGAAAACTGAAAAGATTTAGCTCCCTAACCACTGCCCTAACCAATCCACATCAAGAGTCCATTGCTAGTATAAGTCGTAAATTATATAAAATCTGGAGCCTTCAAAGAGCTGAGCAAAAACATTAATATAGATCAAGAGGTTCTGCTCTTCTACACTACAGTAAGCTGGCTGTCAAACGAAATGTTGTAAATTGTGTTTTTGAATTGAAATCTGAAATCAAATTTTTCTTGGAAGTGCAAAGGAAACAAGACTTTTTGGTATACTTAAAACGACATGGAGTGGTTGGAGAGAGTATCATACCTAGCAGATGTGTTCGAACATCAAGATAAGCTTAACCTGAAACTTCAGGGAAAATGAACGAATATTATAACTTCCCATGATAATCTCGGGGCATTTTTATCAAAGCTGCAAAATCGGTAAAGAAAATAAATCTTGGAAATATTGTAAATTTGAGAAAATCTGCAGTGTGGTAGATGAATCTGATTGTGAGATAATTAAAATTTTGAAAGAAGCGATTTCTGAGCATCTTGATTCTCTTGAAAACGAACTGCATCGCTATTTCTCTGAGCTGAAAAAAAGAAGAATCTGCATTTACGCACTACCCATTCTCTTCTTCCGTTGATGTTGCCAGCATTCCCGATGAATTACAAGATGAATTCTTTGATTTGCAGAGTGATTCCGAGTAATATGAAAAACTGCACACACAATTTTTGGTGTAGTATTCACCATTCATACCCAAACGTAAAATTGATTGATTTTTCGAGAATATATTTTCAACACTATTCTTCGATTAAAAACACAATTAAGATAATTATAATGACATAGGTTGGCGTTAACAAAAAAATTTTTAATTAAAAAGTTAACCACGAAGGTTTAGTGAATAGTATGCAATTTTACTCATGCTATTAAAACAGTAATCAAGGGTAGTTCATATTGAAAGTCTACTAGAAAATCTTATTTTAGTGCGTATTAATTTCCATACTAATTTCGGCTTTTTAATTCTATGGGGGTCGCGGGTCACTTACTTTTTATAAAAGGGGGTCGCCAATCGAAAAAGGTTGGGAACCACTGATCTACATCGTCTAAAATTAATTTTTAAAATTTAAAAAAAAAAAAAAATTAAAATTAATTTTTCACTGATGTCCAAGCGACCGTTTGGTTGATTCGCGATTTACTACATCTAATATGCAACTTTTAGATTAGACGGCGTGAACCGACTCGATTGCTGAAACGAAAAGTCGCGAGTTTGAACCCTAGCACAGACGTGTCTCGATAGCTAGGATTTTAGCCCTTTTTAAGAGAAAGCTCCAAAATCAAACAACTGATGTCTTTAATTTTACCTTGGATGGACAAATGATTTAGAAGCGAACCTAAGAAGGATAAATTCGGAAATTACTTCCAAACATTGCAATCAGGAACGAAGAAGAAAAAAAAAATCAAAAAGCTCGGTGTATACTGCCGTAACTTAATGAAAAAGTATTTGGCTTGGTCTTACGTGCACATTTTAATAGTCATTAAAAACAAATTTTAGACCTTTAAATATAATATTTTGGTCTGTGACTATAGCTGTAAAAATGTGTGTACTTAAATTATTTCGTTCATCAAAGTAAAGTAGTTTGCAGCCAAGCAAAATAAGCCATATAATTTCTAACTTAAGCTGCAATTTTTTAAAATCTTCATTTTCATTTTATATAAAACCTGTGCGTTTAATAAAAAATACATTAATGAAGATCGTTCAACAGTGGGTTTGGTTTAATGACTGCTATAAATACATAGAACGTAAATGAAAACGACGCTGATTTGTGCATGTTTTAGCTTAACGTCAGATGGCAAGTACCTCTATATTATCCACATGGAAGCCACAGTGGTGAATACATTTAGCTCCGAGCTCACGAGACTTACAATACAGAAAGACTTGGAGCTAAGTGCACTAAATCCAAGTGAGTCGATGTGGATTGGTGTGGATGTGGATTCTATTTTCGTGTCCGATCCAGGTTAGTTTCATTTTTACTAAATTAAAACCAAGCGAATTTATATGGATAAGAGTTATGTGGATTTTTAGTAATACGTCTTGTTCATTTTACTTTAGTTTCAAAACCGTGTTTAGCGCAAAGAAATATAAACAATGTGATTAATAACATTTAAATAAAAAAGTGTATACATGCTGATCTATTTTAAAGAATGTAAAATTATGTTTAATACATTTCTAAATTGTTTGCAGAAAGCATACACTGTCCAGCTTTTGAAATTAAAAAAATGAACTATACTTTACAATATAATGAGTCTTATGTAGGCGAAACTCGGATTCAAAACATACCATTGCCAGATTCAATTCTGCAATTGAAAGCGAAATGGTAAACATTTTACTTATTAAAGAATTACTTTCAAGACTGTGCTAACGTTATTAACTAATAAGAATAACAAATACAAATGAATTCTGAATGAGTAGTATTTTTTAAACTTTTTAATGCGTTAATTTTTTTCATATGATTTAAAGCATCGCAGAAGATGGCATTGCAAAGTGGGGTGAGGTTGTAGAGGAACACGTACCTTATACCACCACTCAAAACATCAGTGAGTAATATCAGTATAGAACAAAGTAGGCCTACTTTTGTCTATTTGTATTTTGGTACTGTGTAACTTTTAAATCTAAAATATTTAGGTGAGACGTAAATAAAAACTTAAACACACGCGTAATTTAGACAATTTAGCTCAAGCCGAGTTGTTCCTGAACATAACGGACAACACAACTATCGTGCAATTCATCCGTGAGCTGGAATATTTGACAGAGAAAACCATACTCAGTGCACCCGGTGTCGCAGAATACATTTTGCTCAGCATTGGTGAATTGGAGAAATTAGAGCTAGATGGTAGCAGTGCGGGAAGGTAAGTGCTGCTAGATCTACTTTAAACATAAGTAACTAGCTATATGCACACACACACAAATACAAACACACACACACACACACACACACATATATATATATATATATATATATATATATATATATATATATATATATATATATATATATATGTGTGTGTATATATATATATATATATATATATATATATATATATATATATATATATATATATATATATATATATATATATATATATATACATGTGTGTGTGTGTGTGTGTGTGTGTTTGGGTGCGTATCTGTTCGTTATCAGCCAAGGGTAAAGCCGGCATTCTATTGAATGTGTGAAAAGTTCCATCAAAATTTTACAATAAAACGTTTTTAAATTTTAAGAGAGCAAACAAACGAGACCAAGAGTCAAACATTTAAAATGTGCTCAACTAAAAGTAGAAACGTTACTATTTTAAAACTTCCAAAGGTCATTACCTATGAGTCATTTTTTATTTATTTGTATTTATTTTGTTTTTTAATCAGCCTCCAACATGGTAATTTCACACTTTACCTAGAAGAGCAGATATATTTATATAAAAATAATAGACACACTAAACAAAAATGATTTATTAAAAAAAGAAATCTCATTTGACCTATCAAAAACGGTTCTCAGGACAAATGATCTCAGGACAAATGATCTCAGGACTAATGATCTCAGGACTAATGATCTACACTGTCTATCGAAGCTTAATTTAAAATCTGCGAATATTTTATTTGCATTTGTAATTTTAATATATTTAATATAATGTGACAGACTTTTTGTCACAATTATTATGTGTAAAAATTGTAAGTAAAATCCCTTTTTTAATGTTAATACACTAAAATAATCTCAAATACTATAATATATTGCCGTGAGAGACTTTGTCTGAGAAATTTTGTCTGAGATCAATAGTCCAATATATCAATTGTCCATGGTATCATTTGTCCTGAATATTTTGTCCTGGTATCTTTTGTCCTTAGATCATTTATCCTTTTAATAATTATCATTAAAAAAGTTTTTAAAAACCCTCGTTTTCTGATTGAACTAAAAAGTAGAAAATAATTGATATACATCACAATAATGCAAGCGATCACTCTACTATAAGCGATGAAAAACGTGGGTCGCCGAAGTAAAAGTTTTTTAAGATGTAAAACTTATATTACTATTGATTAGATAATACTATTGACTTTTATTAAGGAGCTTGTAGAGAGTCAACAGTATTAGAAGCTGTAAGAAATTCACGGCGCCCACGTTTTTCATCGCTTATAGTAGAGCGATCGCTTGCATTATTGTGATGTATAGCATTTATTTTCTAGTTTTTAGTTCAATCAGAAAACGTGGGGTTTTTTTTTTTATTTTAATGATAATTATTTTCTACTTTTTAGTCTTTGTCTGTTTGTTTGCATTCAAATTGTGACCTACTTAGGTCTAGTAATGTTTTATTTTTTTAGTTTGACATTGTTATAATACCATATATGGTCGATGGTGCAACAACCGGGTTTTTTCCGCTGTCCTACTAAGAGAGTCTAAGACTCAGAAATTTTCCATCAAGATCTGATTGATTGATTCAGACCAGATGACCACCCCAACCAATGGCCACATGAGTTGAGGGTAACCTCCCCTGTTGCCTAAGTCTATAACTAGATCGCCCACAGGCGGCACGAGGCAGTCCATCTTGACCAGGCCGTCCATTTTGACCGGCAGTAGATTCTGACCATTTGAACGTGAGAGAGCTTAAGTCCTGAGTGTGCTATGCATTCTTAAGTTGTTTAAGTATTCTAGTATTATATTACTTGTGGCCAAGTGATTCTTGATGCTATAGCAGTGTTATGTGACCTGTGGCTATTTTTATAAAGTGTTAGAATCTGTGATAGTATTTTTTCTTACGCTTTGTAAGTTGGGTTTTGTTATTTTCTAAACTAAATATTTTATCTTGTTTAACCTTGTGTTCTGCCACAACTGTGTTCACTTATTAAAGGTTGTATGCAGATTGAATGAGTTGTTAACTTCAATAGTTTCACTAGTTTTCCCTAGACATCGAAATCGAGCCCTAGTGTGTTGTTGAGTTAGTGTTCATTCATTTAGGCTTTAGGTCATTTGCATATAACCCCAAGAAAGAATCCGGGGGCGTTCACCATCTATCTGGCTGGTAGATAGGTGTCCGTTACAAAATCTTGCTATCGATTTTATCTTCTCGCATTCAGTTTTTTTTGGGTAAAAGAAGACAACTCGTAAAAAACACGTGCCTTTTCCAATCGACGTTTCTTCTGTGTTGCCATCAACATTCTACTTCCTGATCAGTCAGATTTGCATAGGTTTGCACACAAACACCGCGTGACCACTACTCAGCCAATCGCGTGCTCGCTCCTTCAGTAAGCCACAAGAGGGAAAGTACCGAACCTTATTTTCATCAAATTACAATTACTAGGTTATGTCCCTTTTTTGTACAATTATATAGTTGTCTAAAATGATCAATAAAATGTTTCCATGGATCAATTTAGTAATAATAATTGAATATTGTATTGTCATTGGAAACAAAGCTTCCCTGAAAATTTCAGCGCGCTAGCTAACTGGGAAGTGCCCAAAATTACGATCGCAAGATTTGATTGGTAAAACAGACGCGAAAGCAAGTTAAAGAAAACGTGGGAAAAAATAGCAATTTATAATTGGAAATGAGAACAACCGGTATATGCTGGTGGTTTTAGCCAATCCAGAAAATATTCTTTTCATGTGACTTGACAATTCTCCTGAACAATCATCTTTTAAAACATTTTGTTCCGTAAAAACATTATTATCTTTAAAACATTCACATTTTTTCTGTGCAGCCATAAACAGTGTTTTTTGCAGATTTCTTTCTCCGGGGGGGGGGGGGGGGGGGGGTGGGGAGATAACATTTTCCTGGGGGGAGACGGACACTGGTAAAAGTATATGTTTTCTGTATAATTCCATTTCGTTCGGGCGGGGGGGGGGGGGGGGAAGGGGTAGACTTATTTCAGGGGACTCCGCTCCCCCAAAGATATGCCTAGAAGAAACTCTGGCCAAAAATGTTAAAAAATTTCAGAGTACTTGAGATAATAGAAAGTGTCTCGAATAAAGTTTCACTGACGTCAGGGATGTACAAACACGTCAATCCAACAATCGCCCTTGTGTCTTATCAAATGAACACAAGTCGGCTGGGAGGTGTCGAGTTAACAGTGCTGTCCAACTCACACACGAACCTTACGACGGAAAAGGTAGAGGCTATTTAAAGTAGATACCTCACCAGGTTTGTCCTTGGTGGATTCAATCAAATCTAATAAGTCAGTAAAAATTTTTAAAATCTTAACTTTTAGTGAAATATAAAAATAATAATAATTTGATTAAGCTTATTTAAGTGTAAGTAAATTAAAAACATAGACAAATTATCAAATACACGCTAAATCTAGGTAAAACGTCAATTTTAAAAACAACAAAGCTTAAACACACACAAATTAATATCGAGGTTAATATGAGAGAAAGATCATTTTAAAATCAAAATAATTTTGTTATATACATCGATCCTTATTTATTTTGGTTGCTACCAAAAATATAAAAACATTGCAGGTATTCGAGTTTGAAAAATTAATCATTGTGATATTGTGTATTCTTGTCAATCGGTTAACTATTTATGTCACTAAATAATTTTTTGATTGAAAAAATGCTGAAGTTATTTTTATTATTAATCCTAAGTAACAACAATACCCCAATATATTACAAAGTTTGATGTATTTAAACAAACATCTCTCATAAATTTTGTCATTATTTTTATCCATCAGGTAAACGGAAAGCTCGACTGCGACTCCATGACGCTGACCCCAGGCGTATCGTCCATACATATACCCGTAAAGTCTCTTGAAAGTATTTTCAGCACAGGAGAGCTCATCGAGCAAAACACAAGACTATCGTTTGTTATTCAGCTGTCTGACAAGCTATTCGCAGTTAGGTTCCATTTTTTTTTGTTTCAATTTACATAAACTATTTTTCCTAACAATGATCATTAATGAAAATAAGCAAACAAAAAACAGCAGGTAATTAAAAGATCAGTTTTTTAAATAATATTTTGCACATTTAATTCATGTTCAATTCCAGGTTCAAGACCGCTCCAATTCTTTGATAGTAAACAGCCAGATCCTTTCAGTTATAACACCACAAAAAGAAGCGATAAAACTCCACGACAACGTCACAATAGGATTTACTCACTATAACACCGTAAGTAACTGTGACCGGCCCGACATCATATTAACACGTTTTTCTTAACTCAGCTTCGCGTTTGTGGGTTTGTTGTTAAAATTGACATCGAAAATTAGCCCACTTCTGATTGCTCTAGAGACCTGAAATTTGGCATGCATGCTACTTTCGCCTAACAATTTCAGATGCAATCATAAAAACTAGCAATTAGTGACCGTAATTAGCTTAATTTAATTACGCCCCAAGGACCATAAAATTGAGGACATGATTTCTAAAGATACCGACAAGACTGGAGCCTTATTGACACAGTTACTTCGGCCCCAATCGATGTGAGCGCGCTGGCCGTGATCGTATAGTGGTTAGTACTTCGCGTTGTGGTCGCTCAAGATTTTTAGTCCGTGTATTTATAAACACTTTTTTAAAAACCACGTTTTTCATGTGTAGCAACGGACTAAAAAGGAGAAAATAAAATACTTAAAAAAAACTTTTTAAAAAACCACGTTTTTTATGTGTAGCAACGGATTAAAAAGGAGAACGGACACGGTAACACATTGTTAACGGTGACACGGTTGGTACGCTGGGCATGCTAAAATACACATAAACACGTTTTTCCTTAACTCAGCTTCGCGTTTATTTGTTTGTTTATGGGAGATTTGATCAATTCGTGAGTAGATCTCCACGCCAGCAACGTAAATTACACCCTTTCTCTGTTTAAAGCGTATCGGTCGCTCAAGATTTTTTTAGTCCGTGTATTTAAAAACACTTAGTCAAGTCATACTTAATCAAGTGATTAGATAAAGTAGAAAATAAAGTATATAAAAAACTTTTTAAAAACCACGTTTTTCATGTGTAGCAACGGACTAAAATGGAGAAAATAAAATACTTAAAAAAAAACTTTTTAAAAAACCACGTTTTTCTTGTGGACTAAAAAGTAGAAATTTTTGTTTCATACATTTGATGACAAAAAACGTGGGTCGGGCAGATGGGTCGGGAAATTTGATGGTGAACGTACCCACGTTTTTTGTCATCAAATGTATGAAAAAAAATGTTCTACTTTTTAGTCCACAAGAAAAACGTGGTTTTTTAAAAAGTTTTTTTAAGTATTTTATTTTAATTTAGCTTTAAATTTTTAATTGTATAATGTCTGCCGCTTAGATGGCTGGGTGACTTTTTACAAGAAACTTCGCCAAAGTCTTGTTAGTTTATTTTGTGAACGATCTCTCATACTATGAAAGACGTGTTGATAAGGCACCCAGTGTCTAATAGTAAGAAGAGAAACATTTCTATTCAAAGAGATTTTTTTCATGATGTGAATGATTATCGAAATGTAAAATTTGTTAAATTAATTATGTTTCTAAATTTTCACTTTGTCTTTATTTTTCAGAAGTTTGTTTCTCCAGTCTGCGTTTTCTGGAAAAAGCATCATGGCGACGATTTTGGGAGTTGGTCGTCAGATGGCTGTAGCCTGGTGCAGACAACTGAACGGATGTCTGTCTGTACATGTAATCACGTGACCAGTTTTGCGTTACTCATGGTGCGAAACGTTGGGTTAATCACTAAATCTTGAACTAATTAGCGTGATGGTGATAGATAAAGCCATAAAGTTTACTAAAACAATGAGTTTATATGAGTTCGCTGGAGATTGGTTTATCATTCTGTAGTAGAATAAACCATTGGAATAGAGTAATATACAGTTAATAGTTTAAGTTCTATGTTTACTTGAAGTCTTTCAAACTATAACGGTTTACAATCTAGGCATTTTCTATTTCCATTTATTATAAAGAATCAACAACTAATTATCATATTAGATCAGCTGATAAAGAAAGTATAAATAAATGTATAAACGTTTCAGGATGTGTATGGTCAGGAACGTCAAGCATCTACGGACGCCACTGATGATGAAGTTTTGTCATACATTTCGCACATTGGATGTGCCATCTCATTCGTAGCTTTGCTTATAACTGTCTTGATCTACACCATGTTTAGGTATAAACTACTTAGCTGTCAACGGTCCATAACATTTGCTAATTGTTGAACAATAATTTAGATAATATTTGTATGTAATATTTGACATATTTTTTTCTTTTTTTTTTACTTTACCGTTATACTTCCTATTGACTTAGCTCTAATATCTGTCTAAACAATCGTTACTTTACCGTCATACTTCCTCATAACTTAGCTCTAATGCTTATCTAAACAAGTGTTGCTTTACCGCCATACTTCCTCGTGACTTAGCTCTAATATATGTCTAACCCGTGTCTTTCTCTCCAGTCGTCTGAGAAGGGACGAGCCGTCTCAGATACTTTACAACATGTGTTGGGGGCTACTAGCGTTTAATCTATGTTTCCTGTTGGGCCTTGCAATAAATGATGACACGGATGCTGTTTGGTGTAAGGTATGGCTCAGCTGTTTTTCTGTTTGTTCTACATATAATTTAATCACATGCTTACTAGTGACATGGACTTATTGTTTTCATGCTATTAAGAGAAAGAGGGAGAGTAAACAAAGACAAAACCTTAGTTCGATCGATTCAGTAGGTAGAAAGACAGATGAAATGGATGGAGAGATAAATAGATTGATGTAATGTATCGATGTGATGGATGGATGGATGGATGGAAGGATGGACGGACTGACGGATGGATGGAAGGACGTACGGATGAATGGACGAACACGGAGTGACAGGCAAAAATAGTGTGTTTTTTTTTAAAATAGTAGGCTTTTAAAAATTTTACTTTTAATTTTCTGCATTAAGGTTTTGGCTGCAAGCATGCACTATTCGCTGCTAGCTGCAATGTTCTGGATGGCTGTGAATGCCTATTACATGCACTTGTCGCTGATCCGTGTTTTTAACACATACATCGACAATTTTTATCTCAAATGCGCGCTCGCAGGATGGGGTAATATAAATAAATCTATTATGGTTGCATTATAACAGCAAGGTGTAAAAATTTTAATAGTTGTTGTGCTCTTATATTAACGCTCATATGTTGCATTATTTGAAGTTAAAAAATTAAAAATATTTATACACGTTACTTTAAAAAAAATTTGAAAGTATTCTTACTATACTATACATTTTTTGCCTTTTTTAGGATCACCATTTATATTTGTAGCTATAACTTTAGCTATAAACAAAACAGACAATTACGGTCTGATATCTAGTCATTTGTAAGTTTGTTTTTGTGTTACATGCAATTTAAGATATTCTTTAAGATGTTCTACTAACTGTTAGTGTTATTCTTCACATTTTACTTCTCAAGGGACATAACAATGTCAACTTTTAACGTATTCTATTTAACTTGTTAATTTAAGACATACATCGTTGACAATACGCTATATTTAATATAAAATAAAATTTATATTTGACATGAAACAGATGTTGGATTAAACATCCTGCCATATACTACGGTTTGATTGCGCCCGTGGCTTTTATTATATTCGTCAATTGCATCGTATTTCTAAAGATTTTACGACTGATAGCAAAGATGTCTACAACAAACTCAAGGTAACCTCCGAATACTACAAATAGAAAAACAAAGAAATAGTTTGTAGTTAGCTAAAAAAAATTTAAACAACAGTTATCATTTGTTTTTAAAGCATACTGGTCGAAAGAAAGACCGATAAAGAAGAAATATTACACAACAAATATAATAATAACGTTCTAAATTATGGTTTTAGATTACTAAGAATTGTTTCCTATATTATCTCGAGGAATTATTACACATTTTCAATTCACAGCTGCTATTTGGGTTGATGGTTTTAAATATTTATATCCTTGTTAAATTATACCAGATGGGTAAAATATTTTTTTAAATGAAAAACGGAATGTTTCTTGGGCGTAGCTATTATTTGCATATTTTAATTAGCTATTTAGATCGTTTACATGTGATAAATGTTTCTATTTTTAGTGCAATATCAAATTTTCGAGCGTCGGCGAGCCTGTTTATTCTGTTAGGTCTTACGTGGATATTTGCATTCTGCGCTATTGGGAAATTTAGAATCGTATTCAATTACCTCTTCGCAATTTTCAATTCATTTCAGGTAAAAGCTCTGCTTCGTTGTTTTGAAGTGTCGTTACCACAATTTTAAATACCTAGCATGTTTATTAAAGTATCATTACATCAACGTTTAAATACCTAACCTGTTTAAAGCTACAGCTAAATGTCTATTATGTTTAAAAATGTCTTTACAACAATTTAAAATATTTCATACATACATTGATATTTCTATAAAATATAATACAATGTCAATCGATAAATTATCTACCCCTGGTACGTTGTCTCAGAGTTCTTATATTTGCATCAAACGTTATTAAATCCACATAATGTAATGAATATTTTTATTCATCGCGTGTGATAATTCGAAAAGAAATATTTTTTTACATTGAAATAATGAATCCCATTTTACATTGACTAGAGGTAATCATTTCGTAAACGGCACCTGTCCACAGTGTATTATATTAGTTGACGTTCATCTTTTTAAGAGCATGAAACAAAGAGGATCCGTTAATTAGGCCATAGAAAATATACAAACACATTTTTTCTGACTGCACATTCTCTATCAGGGGCTGTTTATTTTCACATTTTATTGTATGCTGAAACAAGAAGTTGTAATATATTTAAAGAAGCTATGCAACATCAAGTCTGATGACTCAAAGGCCCAAAAACCTAAAGGTAATGTGTTATAAAAATATTCTATAAAACGTATTGTAAATACTCAGAATGATATTGTAAATACTCAGAATGAGTCTTTAAGAGTCAGCTAAATTTAAATACTATGGCCTAACGTTTTTAGAGTGGATTATTTATGATTTATTATTATTAACAATAGAAATATTATTATGATTCTATTTATTAATATTTTTTAAGCTGGAGAGACTTCAACAATGTCGACCTATCAAGGTAATAAATTATTTTAAAATTCACTGTCAAATAAAACACTAATAACGTAGCATTACTTGTAAGCAGCGATTTGTAGAGAAATCTTAAACATTTTGGACTAAAGTGCCCAATATTTTAAAAATTGAGTTTATATATATATATATATATTTTAATAGTCACATTTTTTAACGTAGAAAAGAAAATTATCGAATATATGTCAATGCGCCTATATTTTAATACTTATAATAAAATGAGTGAGTAACTATACTATTTTCTGAGCGACACACGATTTTTTTATAGTAATGCGTTAACATATATTTATAGACAGCGAAACTATTATTATAGGTAAAAAGACATCTTATGTTCTTCTTTTTAAAGTATTTATAAAATATTGTTGTTTTAAATGATTTTTTTTTCTTCTTATTTCTCATTTACACTATTACAATTTTTTACGCTATAGGATCATATAGCTAAAAATACAGACACCAAACGTACGCATTATGCTAACAATTATCACTTTACATTGTAGTCTTTATTTTATTTTAAAAAAAATTAAAACTCTTATTGGCCGAATCGCAACTGTCTTGCATTTTCCATTTAACATTAAATAAAAGTGTACCGCTTGTTTTAAATAATTGTAGCTTCAAAATCCTTTTTTGTGGTTTTTTGTGTGTGTCGGTTTTAACTACAGATCGAATGTGTTTAATATTTTTGTGTTTTCAACAGCTGAAGAATATATTAAAAAGCCTAAAACTCAATGAAATTATAAATTGACATGGCATAACTTACTTAAATTATTACAAAGTGTAGTTTTCAGTAAAACAATTATAATAGATTGACGACAGAAGCCTGTGGTTGTATATAACACATTTAATGGGTCTAACTACCACGATGGTAACACACAGAGAGGACGGAAGGAAGTACTCAAGGGACATCACTCAAGATAACAATATTATAAATATAACTAATACAGAAGAGTGAGTTCCCTTGACCTCACAATTATTTCAATCTATTACATCCCTTTACCCTTAGAACACAATAACACATCTCTCAATAGAACAATTGATAGTATCCTAAAATCACCAATTATATTGTAACATGAACACTATGGTAGATTACATCCTTACAAACAATGCACAATATGCTACAACATAATCAAAATACAAAACAATAATGTCAAAGTCCTTTTTGACCTTTAGAATCATAGGTCTAACTTATTTGGGACTTTGATTGTCCTGCTTGACCTTCTCAGTAGCCTTTGATTTGGTGACTCAAGATTCTGACCATCTGGATTCTCTATCTCAGGAGGTCTAGGATTTAAATCATTAACTCCAGAATTTACATTTTCTGACTCCAGACAACTTGGTTCACTCATATCAACAGAACTTGGTTGTGGAACAAACTGAGTTGGTGTGAATTGTTCAGATTTGGTGGGATTGACAGATTCACACTTATTATCTGCACAAGTTATTTTTAACTTTATAAGACACAGGTCCTGTACATTGAACAATTTGACCTGGTATCCATTTTTCCTTTCTCCCATAATTTCTTAGATACACATTCTTATTAACACCAAATTCTCCTTCAATGAATGTTTGTCATGATTTAATGGAACTATTTTTGAATTGGCATCTGAAAGTATTAAATGGCAAAAAATCTTTTTTTTCTTTTGATGTTACCCTTTTAGTTTCTGTAAGTGCTAATGATGTTAGCAAAGTTGTTTGATGATCACATTCCTTCTTACTAATGTATTCTCTTTAAAACATTTGAAATTGCCATATCACCATAATCATTTATTAAGTTACAAATACTTTGTTTAGGCAATTCTGACTGATAATGGACTGCATCTTCTCCATCTTTTATATTATTTTCACAAAGGTTTTTATTTCTTATTTTATATGGCTTTAAGTCATCATTCACTGACTCTTCAGGCCAACCATTCTTACAGTACTCATATACTTTTATTAAGCACTCATCTTTTTGTGTTTCTCTTTTAATATCATTCACATTTATATTGGAGTTATCCATGATAGTGAAGAGAACAAATACATCTTCTGGTACATAGCTCAGGCTTTGGTTTTTTAAAGGTAATCTACTAAGACTATCTGCACTATTCTCAGATCCAGGTTTGTATTTCAATTCATAATTGTATGCAGTTAGTGTGATAGCCCATCTTTGAATCCTTGGTGAGGCATGCTCAGGTAGGGTTTTGTTTTCTCCAAATAAACCTAGCAATGGTTTATGATCTGTAAAGATGGTGAACTTCCTACCAAACAGAAACTTATGAAATTTCTTAACACCAAAAATGATGCCTAAGCCTTCCCTATCTAACTGAGAATAATTTTTCTCAGCCTGGTTCAAAGATCTACTGGCAAAAGCAATGGGTCTGTCACCCTTCTCATCCATGTGGGACAAGACTGCTCCTACACCATCTGGTGAAGCATCACATGTTAATATAAGTCTTTTCCCTGGGTCATAGTGAGTTAGTAAGGTGTCAGCAGACAAAGCCTCTTTTGCTGTATTAAAAGCAGCTTCTTGTTGTTTACCCCAGAGCCAAGTTGCATTTTTCTGTAGCAGCTTGTACAGTGGTGATAGTTTACCAGACAGATTTCCTATGAACTTTGCATAGTAATTTATCAAGCCCAAAAAAGCTCTTAGTTGTTGGGTATTTTCAGGTTTGGGTGCTTCTTTAATGGCTTTTGTTTTCTCAGGTTGAGGTCTGATGCCTTGTTTGCTCAATATATAACCAAGAAAACTAATTTCTGTCAACATGAATTGACATTTATCTTTGTTTATCTTTAAACCTTTTTCACCAACAATTTTTAATACTTTATCAAGTGTTTTAAGATGTTCAGTGTCATTCTTACCAGTTATGTACACATTGTCAAAGTACACACAAACATTTGGAATATCCTTAAAAATACTGTCCATGACAGCTTGGAAAATTCCAGGGCTAGATGATATGCCAAAACATAGTCTTTCATATTGGTAGAGTCCTTTATGTGTGTTTATTGTCGTATAGACTTTTGAATCTGGATGCAGTTCTAGTTGAGTGTAAGCATGACTAAAGTCTAATTCAGTGAATTTGTCTCCTCCTGCCAAATTCAAAGAAATTTCCTCAATGTTAGGTATAGGGTACCTATTTAGCTCTATTTGCTTATTCAGTGTAGTTTTATAATCTCCACAAATTCTTATAGAACCATCCTTCTTTAACACTGGCACAATGGGTGTCGCCCAATCGGAATAGTCTACCTTCTTTATAATGCCATTAGATTCCAATCTACTTAGCTCATTTTCAATTTTATTCCTCATTGCATAAGGTGGAACTCTAGCTTTGCAGTATCTTGGATTTGTATCTTTAATGCTTAACTTCACTGTTCTATCATTTAGTAATCCTGGATTACTAAAAACACATTTATTTTCAGATATAACTTTATCTAGTGAAGTAAGACTAGATTCTTTTACATTCTTCAATGAACAAATACTCTCCCAATTTAACTTAAGATCACTTAACCAGTTCCTACCTAGTAATGGCGGTCCATTTCCTTCAACCACAAGAAGAGGAAGTTTAACACTTTGACCATTATAACTTACATGAACCATACACTCTCCTATTACCGGAACATTGT